GTATCTCACTGTTGTATAGTAATAACTGAATACACAGATTGAAAAGATAATAAAGGAAAATACTTGTAAATATGTTATCTAACCTTGCTTCTAAAAAAAGATACATAAAAAAAAGATATATATATATATATATGTATCATTATGTAACATTGCTGAGTCAAAGATACAGCTACGTGCAAGCATAAAATTGTCCGCTGATCAAAGATTAATTACCTGTAGCTAATAAATTCCCATCTCTGGAAAACGCGCAGCAGGCCACGTACCTATTGTGTCCTGCCGTTATTGTTATCACTTTCCCGGAGTTCTACAAGATGTCAGAGAATGAAAGTTGTTAATATCATCAATATGCGAGGTGTTATATATTCTGTTTATCATTAATTTGCTTAACTCGACATAAGAAAGGAATAATTTCCTCAGTCAAGAGATTAAAAATTGTTGATGACCAGTTTCAAACGCGAGATACTTTTCTGATGAAACACTACCCAATGTATAAAAGAAATGACTTTCTTCGAGATAATTAATTAAAATTTCGAAATAATCGAAAGAAATTGAAAAATTATGTTCTTCGCCGTACGAAAGGTTTAAACTATCAAATTCGAATTATCAATAGCGGCAGCAATGATACAAGTTTGAATGAACCATTGTTCGCACGAACCATTGAACTAATAATTCTTCACCGTACGAAAGGTTGAAACTATCAAATTCGAGTTATCATTATTGATATCAATAGCGACAGCAATTACGCAGTGATACAAGTTTGAATGAACCATTGTTCGACAGATGAGATAAATCGACATAAAGACGATAGCATTACAAAGCCAGATATATACAGCTTGAGATAACGAAAGGGTTAATGGTTGGCTAATTTAAACGAAGGTTTCTTATCAATCTAAACGTTCAGAGATTTCACCATATCTTCTTGTTCTCTTATTTCGTACCGTTTCCCAGATAATTGTTGTTTTATCGAGGCCGCTGCTAGCGATGAACAATCCGTTCGCGTTGAAACAAACGCAAGTTAAGGCACTGCTGTGCTTCTCCATAGTTCTGCACAGGTTTATCTTCACGGTGGATGTCTCGCATTTCGTTTGTACTACAGTTACTTCCCACAGCTTTACGTAATGGTCGTTGCCGCAGGTAACCAGCTGATACAGTTTCGTGAAAGGTTCGTTGCCTGGAAACATATGAAAAAATAGTTTATGCGAAGTATGATTAGTCGAATTTGCGCAGTGGCAGAGCAAGTTTTTTAAGCACTTTCTTTCGATCGGAGCATGGATTGTTCTATCAAAACTATACAAAATATAGCTCACGATTCTTGACGAAGATGACGATGATCGGTTGCGTGTGAAAGATCATTTCATTGTTAAGAAATTTATTGAAATTGTTTGGGAAAGTTTCCAAGAGTTATATGTATAGAAAATACTATTATACGGAATGTTTCTCGATCGTAGGTATAATGATTTAGTATGAGAAAATAAATCTAAAAAGAAGAAATGAAATCCTTTCATGTAAGGATGAGTTGTCGAGGAAATCGAGTTTGAAAATTTGTCGAATATATATTCAATTCGATCTGAACTGTATATTTCAGGAGGTTATTTTATTACATACAAAGTAAATAAAAGAAGTATGATGTAGAAACTTTCTAGAAAATTATAAAAAATTTTTTCTCTATTTTTTTTGATTTATCTTCACGTGTAGGATAATTTTCGTTTCTGTTCAGTGTGCAATTATCCAAATAAATATGCCTGATAAATTTTTCAAATTTAATTTTCTCGAAAGTGAAGCCTGGAATAAAATAATCGTATCCTTTTTCTTCGACTTGTTTTTGCACTTTATTTTAGAATTACCTTCTTTCCAGTTGTACCACTGGACTGATAACACCCTATATAAATAACAGATATTTTCATTTATTTAATTAATATTTGAACAATTAAAGTCGATCAAAGCTTGTCGTGAAAGTGTTCAGAATGTAGCAGTATTATATACGAGAGAATTTCTTACGTACTTGTAATCTTCTGGCAGGTGGAAAAGTCGCAAGATACGACACCCAAATCGTGAGCGTCGTCTATCGAGGCGAATGCAGTAATCGCTTGATTATCGGTGAAGCACGAGTCGATGATGTCGCTGGTGGCGAATAATTTCATGACGCCGAATGTACAAGTAGTTATCAACCAACTAGAATCCGGTGAGAAGCACACACTCTGCACGGCACCGTCATGTTTTTGAAAATATCTGTAGAGATACGTACATTATATCATATCGTCGCTAATAATAGTAATAAATTTTCGAAATAAAATGCCGTATTAGTAGCATTGCATTCAGTTTTACTTCAAATAAAATGACATAGCATTGGTAGTAATCATTCGAATGTAATATTAACATTAAATTTTGTTGATTATATCTTTTTAACATGTGATATCGTTTAAAGCAATTGTTCTCCACCGTGTTTTAAACTTTCGTAAGGAGCGATAAGAAGTGTTGTTTATGTGAATTTATTATTTCCAACGAGCGCCAATTGACCCAGGCTTGTCTTCAGATATTTCTTCTGAAATTCTTTTGTTCTTCTCGTACTATAGCTTTCATTCCAGCCGTCTGTTCAGATATTGCACTATTATAAATCGCATCGTGCAACACCAAATATGTGTACGTTCGTTTATAATTATCAGCAAACTATGAGAATAGGAAGCCCGAAGTGTTAGGTAGATTTCAATACGAAGAAGAGGAGACAGTGCAAAGGATTAAAGGTGCTGAATCATGTCAGTTAATTCCAGTAGTATTCAGTTGACGAGTGTGATCAAATAGAATTATAATCTAAATAGATTGGAGATTTTTTTACCTAACTAAACTGCGTCGGATTAAATCCCAAAGGCAAACTTGTCCGTTATCGCCGGCGGTTGCGAGTAACGTTGAATCTGGCGAAAATCTGCAAACTCTCACCGCTTCTCCGCCTACTTGAACCATTGTATGAATTTTCGATCCCGTCTGTAAGTAAAATCACTCATCTGGTAACATCATTCGCGATAGCAATCTCGGTTAGAAGCTAATCGTCTTTTATTAAAGTCGACTCATGCCGTGCAAGTGTCCTTTATTGAGAGTTAAAACTTCGTCGACTGAATCTTCGGTTGAATCATTACAATATATCAGATGAGGTTTTTAACGAGAAACGATTCACACTAATTGGCTTCTGAATCCTTCGTACGATACGATGCAATGCATATATGCAATATATAAGTGCAGTGAAGATTCTTATTTATACATACAGAGTGTCCCATTTTAATCTATAACTGCAATTATCCTCTGAAAATATTCGTCATTTAAAAAATGTGTCTCAAGTGCATTTTTTTTTTTTTTTT